CCCATATCCCATATCCCACACCCCACATCCCGGCCCCATATCCCCTATCCCAGCCCCACACCTCCCGCCCTCTCCCGCCGCCCCCCGCCCTCCCCGCGCTCAGCCCTGCCCGCGCTGCCGCGCACGCGCAGAGGCGCCGCCGCCCCGCGCGCCTTTCCCCGTGCGCTCCCGGCGCTCCCCGCGCGCGCTCGCCGCTGACGTCACCGCAGCCCGGCGCCCGCCGCCATTGGAGTCGGCGGCCGGCGCTGCCCCGCTCGCTGCGGCCCCAGGCCCGGCCCGCGGGCATGTGAGACACGGGCCGGCTCCGCCACCGGCACCGGCACGGCCGCGCCGCGCCTCCGCCGCCCGCTCCGCCGCCCGCTGAGGAGGCGCCCCGAGCAGGCGCCAGGCGGCCCCTTTCCCTCCCCCTCGGCCCCGGCCCCTTCCCCGCCCGGCCGCCGCCTGAGGGGAGCGGAGGCGCCGCCGCCGCCCCTCCGCCAGGCCCCGGAGCTCCGCGCCGCGCCCAGCGGCCCTGCCTCGTTCCCCGGCGCTCTCTGCTGAACCACGGGGCCCTGTGCATGAATTATGTCTGCCACAAGCGTTGACCCTCAGGTGAGCGAGTGGCGAGGCGGCCCGGGGACGGGGGAGCTCCCGGGCCTGCGGGTGCAGGCCCCGCCAGGCTTTTCTTCTCCCCCTTGACTGCTTTAGAGCTCCATCGTTCTCCTCAACTTCCCCCGTGGGCTCAGCGCGCTCCCGCCTCCTCCCCGGAGCCATTTCTCAGCAAGGCCGGGCCTGAGGGATACGTGGAACACGCTGCTCCAGCCCTGCTCCAAACAAACCTTGAGATGCTGCTGGCCATTTTTATAAGTCTCTTTCTTCCCCGTCCTCGTAAGCTGTGGGGTTTGCAGTGCCTATGACAATATAAGCGTTTTTCTAAAATTAACTTTTTTACTTCCCTTTTTCTTTTTTTTCCCCGTAATCACGTGCTGTGGCTTCCCAGAGACCGAAAGGACAGGATAATAAAGGTGAGGAATCGTGCTGTGATCTGGTCGCTTAAATTGTTACTGTAAGAGATCAATTACGCAGGTACCTGTAGGTGAGCAGAAATGTATGGCTGGTACTCTGCATGGAAAACATCTGGGAATGAGGGAACGTGTGCTTTGTTTCGAAAATAACATGACTGCCATTCATCCGAGCTTGCCTGCATCCCACTTACTGCTGCTGGGTTTGCAGTGGGAAGGACTGTGTTGGAACTAAATAATTCTCGTTTAGCATGAAGCAAGTTGCTACATAAAGTCACAAGGATATCCCTGTACAGTATATGTATTTTTGCCTACTTTTGCATGCTCTGTGAGTGCAGTTGTGTTGCTGCTCTGCTGTTGGCTGAGATAGTTACTTAAGTCCATAAACTTAATAATTTTGGGAACTTGAAAGATGGTTAATTTATGATGAGATAATAAGTATTTTTATAACTATTCTGCTTCAATTGAAATTAAACTTAGTAACAAGTCATCTGAGAAATACCTTCATTCTTATTGTGATTGCTTACAAATATGTAACTGTTAAGACTTAGAAAGTAGTAATATCCATCTCATAAATGCTTTTTCATACATCTTAACCTGCCTTGAGAATCCTTCTAGTTAAACGTTAAACACATCTCCCTGTGTTTGTAAACACTCTTTTACCTCTTCTCCCCTTGACAAACTTTGCA